GAGGAAGTGGTTGCTCTGCTAACCCTGGTCGGTGGGAGAGAGAAGGTGGGACTGGTGGACCCCCGTTTCCCCTTGGTCTTCTCCCAAAAGGAAAAGAGGGCTGAAGCCAAGGCAGGAAGGAAAAAGGAGAGCGGGGGGTGGGGCGGAGTGCCACCGACATCCCACAAAGAGGGGTTCACTTTCAAATCCTCCAGAACTTTCCGTCTGGCTGGCCGTGACATGGGTGGGGGATAGCCAGGTGTCGAGGCCAGGGGCTCTTGTGTAAGGCAAGTTCCAGAATGGAGGCTGCAGGGTTGCAGAATTGGTTTTTGGGGGCAGGTTTCAGGTCTACCTTTGGGCCGGGTCAGTTTCATGGTCCTCATCTTGTCAGACAAAATGCTGCCCCTCCTTCAGCACACACACACACACACACAGCTGCTGCCCCTCCTTCAGCACACAGACACACACACAGACACACACACAGAGAGAGGCATCCTCCACCTGCCTTGTCTCGAAGCGTACGGAGCCTTGTCTGCAACGCATCTCTCCAGTGCTGTGGAGAGAATACCATCTTGACTGTCCTTCTGCAAGCAGGCAAAGACCTCGCTCTTCAGGCAAGCCTTCCCTCCATGACTGAGTGGAATAATATTTTTTTTAATGGATTGTTGCACCTTATCACTTTGACTGGGTTTTTAGTACTACTTGTGTTTACCATTTCTCACAGTGATTTTTTTTGTTCCTTTTTATTATTTGTATATTTTCTTTTAGTTTTAATATTGTCTTTTAATGATGTACACCACTGTTCTATACTCATTATTTTCAGCTTTAAATACTGTCTTTCAATGATGTAAGCTGCCTTGGATCCTTTTTAAGGAGAAAGGTGGGGTACAAACATTTTAAATAAACAAATAAATAAAATCATCCATCCATCCATCTATCTGGCTCACACAGAGGGCTACAGATCCTTTTTCCTCAGCCACTCTTAATTGGGCTGCCATCTACCTGACGTGGAAACTCATTTTATCTCCAACGTGTCCCGTAATATGGGGGCTTGCCACCTTTCTGTGTATCTCTGTTCCCAGGGAAACATGAGCCGCCAGCTTCTCCTTTGTTGGTCCAGAGCTTTCCTTAACAGATGTTCTCTCTCTCTCTCTCTCTCTCCGTCTGCCCTCTCGGTTGGCAACAGGAGAGCCCACCAGTCAGAGGGCAGGGAAAAGCGGGTGCCTTAATCCCAGCTAAGCAGCAGAAGGGATCAGACAGGTGGGGGTGGGGCGAGGTGGATCACTACCAGATGAGGAGACTCTTCAAAGGCCCCAGATTAAGGGAGATGAGGAGCAACCATCTGTCCAGCTCAAGCCACCCTGACAAAGCCAGAAACACAAGCGCAGGATGCCTCTCTTCCAGGCAGGCTGGGGGGGGGGGTGTCACACAAAGAAAAGGGTGAAGAAGCATCAGCGGAGCAAGGACCGCTCTGTCCAGCAGGTGGCGGCACCGGGTGGCTGCACCTGCCCAGCCCTGCCTCCTCCTCCTC